CACTTACAAACACAGGATCGGGGCCCCAAAACCCAGCTAAACAAAATTTATGTGAACAAAATGTGAGGGGCGTTTTTTATTTTACTAATAAAAAGGTTGGGGCCTCAAAAAGGAAAAGGCACTATTGTGGCTTTTTTTTTCCCAGGGTTTTATTTGGGAGGGGGAAAAATGCCTCTAAACCATCTCTAAAAAAACCCATTAGGCTAAAGTGTAAAAGGGGGGGAGCCCCCTTGAGCGCACACCTATCTACAGAGCACGGGGAGTGTGGCACAATACACCTCACTTGTCACTGAAATATCATAGAAGCACAAAGAGGACTGTTTATGAAATTGTTTTTGAATATTGGATGAACATTAATTTGAAATGCACTATATGTGCACTGGCTTGAAGCACAGTAACTTTGTTCACATTATTATTTGAATAATCACCAGTATATGAGTTTTTAAGAATATTATGGAGCGTGTCACGTATATGTATCTGTAGATATATATGTTTTATGTATAGTCCAAGTTTTTGCACAGATAATGAGTATTGTGTAAACTGTTGATGCACCATTATTTGATATATATGAAATTAGTTATTTATTTATCACGTTAGGGGAGTATCACATTTTGGCTCACGAGTATTATTTCATTGCATTTTAATAAAATGGAGACCTGACCGGAGAGGTGAGGAGGATTCTGGGAATATCATTTGATGTGACTATTTGTGTTCAGATGTAGAGTTTTTCCCTCCTGTGAAGTCTGGAGATCATATGACATCACATTGCCTCCACCTCCCTCCCTGATAGAAGAGAGAAAGAAGAAGAAGATTCTAGAAGTCACCAGAGAGATCACTGAGCTGCTGACAGGAGAGGTGAGCGGGTGCCGGGAATTCTGGGACATTCTCCAGTAACAGACAAGGGATGTGTCTGGATGGTGACTGTATCATTGTGTGTGTCAGGTTCCTATAAGGTGTCAGGGTGTCACTGTCTATTTCTCCATGGAGGAGTGGGAGTATTTAGAAGGACACAAGGATCTCTACAAGGACGTCATGATGGACAATCAGCCGCCCCTCACATCACCGGGTAAGAGGAGACTTTATTGTAAAGGAGAGAGCAGTACGGAGGATCCACCTAGATCCCCCATCATCTGATAAACACATAGAAACAATGGATTCAGTCAGTGTGTGTGTTTCCTACAGATGGATCCAGTCATGGGAACCCACCAGAGAGATGTCCCCGTCCTCTGTATTCCCGGGATTCCACACAGGAAGGTCACACCATCCCTCACCATCATCAGGTAGATGAGGAACAATCACTGATAGTATCATTAGGATCTGTACATTATCTGCATTGTTACCATTGATGTCATTTTATTATATATTCAGAGTGGAAACCTGAGAGATCCTAAAGTTGAGGTTAAAGAAGAGATAAAAGAGGAGGAGGATGAGGATGGGGGGATGGAGGAGTCAGAGATTCCAGAAGAACACAAAGATCTGTACCAGGACACCATGGTGGAGTCATCCAGCTACAGGAACCCACCGGAGAGATGTCCCCGTCCTCTGTATTCCCCAGATTCCATCACAGGAGGGTCACACAAACCCATCCCTCACCATTACAAGGTTGGTGGCAGGCCCGACTGGTCTTAGGGCACACTGGATATTTGCCTGGTGGACAGGGCCAAAACTCTGGGAACTCTGCTGCATTTCTTTAGTACCCTGCAATGCATGAGGAGGGAGTGAGGCAAACAGCTCTGGAGCCCCGGAGCCATGGAGGACTGAGACGGGGCAAGGTGACCTTGCTGCTCTGATGCTATTGTTAGGGGCCCCAGGAGGCTGGACTGTGGCTCCCCAGTGGCCGCAGGGCTATGAGCTGAAAGAGTCTCTCTTACAGCCCAGAGCTAGCAGTGACATTCCCCCCTTTTCCCCACATGGACAGGAGTTGAGAGAGAGAGAGAGAGCTGGTTCTGTTCCTCCTCCTCCCTTCCTCCTCCTGTGTCTGCCCCACCTACACCCCCCCGCAGTGTTGTGCCTCAGAGATGGAGATATGTGGGTGGAAAGTTTTTCTTTTTCTACATTGTGTGGAGGATTACACTGGTGCTCAGTCTAAAATGCCTGGGACAATTTTATTGGCCAGGTCCAGACCTAGTTGGGTGGGATGGAACATCTAGAACATGGACTTGTGGAGACAATGTGTGGATTTTGTGTGTGATGTCACAATCATAAATCTTATATTTTAACAGATGACCTCTTCTATCATTCTCTTGGTTTAGGATGAAGATCTGATAGATATAGAATTTGAGGTGAAAGCAGAAGAAGAAGAGGCGTATGTGAGGGATGATCAGCAGTCTATGGAGGAGGATGGAATAACGGGGACATTTATAGAGGAGGACACTCCTACAGAGATCAGCACAGGTGGGTCATGAACACTAAATCCATTCCTCCACCCATACTGCTCACTGATTGGTCCAGAGTAGGGCGGGGACTGGGTGATATCAGCCTGTAATCCCCTGGTCACTTTCCTGAGCTGTGTTCCCCGTCCTGTATTCCTGGATTTCTCTCGGATAATCTTCCTTCTCTGTGCTGCAGACACAATTTATGTCTCTAGACTGGATTTATGGAGGTTCTGGGGTTCAGCTGGCAGCAAAATGTTCATTTTTACTCTAAGCATTGCATAATGTAGGCACCCAGGACATGTGACTGGGGTCTCCTGCCTTGTGCCTGACTCTTCCAGGGGACCTTCTCTGTTATCTGCTGGCTGTGCCGGGTGGAGGGATATGTCTGTAGTGTCTCAGACCCAAGTCACTGAGTGCAGTCTCAGGAGATGGGAGGCAGCGGTGTGGGATCTCTGCAACTTGTCTACAGGAAACAGTTAAGCTTCTACTGATTGATGAATAATAATATTTATGAGTCCTGACCCCTGCACTATATACTCTATGTTGTACATTACATACTCCTGACCCCTGCACTATATACTCTATGTTGTACATTACATAGTCCTGACCCCTGCACTATATACTCTATGTTGTACATTACACATTACATCCTCCTGACCTGACCCCTTCACTATATACTCTATGTTGTACATTACATCCTCCTGACCCCTGTACTATATACTCTATGTTGTACATTACATCCTCCTGACCCCTTCACTATATACTCTATGTTGTACATTACATCCTCCTGACCCCTGTACTATATACTCTATGTTGTACATTACATACTCCTGACCCCTGCACTATATACTCTATGTTGTACTTTACATACTTCCTGACCCCTGCACTATATACTATGTTGTACATTCCATACTCCTGACCCCTGCACTATATACTCTCTGTTGTACATTACATACTCCTGATAACTGCACTATATAATACTATGTTGTACATTACATACTCCTGACCCCTGCACTATATACTCTATGTTGTACATTACATACTCCTGACCCCTGCACTATATACTCTGTTGTCCATTACATACTCCTGACCCCTGCACTATATACTCTGTATTGTACATTACATACTCCTGACCCCCTGCACTTTATACTTTATGTTGTACATTACATACTCCTGACCCCTGCACTATATACTCTGTTGTACATTACATACTCCTGACCCCTGCACTATATACTCTATGTTGTACATTCCATACTCCTGACCCCTGCACTATATACTCTATGTTGTACATTACATCCTCCTGACCCCTGCACTATATACTCTATGTTGTACATTACATACTCCTGACCCCTGCACTATATACTCTATGTTGTACATTACATACTCCTGACCCCTGCACTATTTACTCTCTGTTGTACATTACATCCTCCTGACCCCTGCACTATATACTCTGTATTGTACATTACATACTCCTGACCCCTGCACTTATACTTTATGTTGTACATTACATACTCCTGACCCCTGCACTATATACTCTGTTGTACATTACATACTCCTGACCCCTGCACTATATACTCTATGTTGTACATTACATCCTCCTGACCCCTGCACTATATACTCTATGTTGTACATTACATACTCCTGACTTCTGCTCTCCCCCCCCCCCCCACTGCTATATATACACATAATATGGATTCTCTTTTGTTCCCCCCATTTCCTCCCAGCTGGACATTTTATATCGGATGATGTGATTGGAGCACAGACTTTTACATGGTGATAATAATGTGATAACATCCTCCAACTTTGGACCCTTAAACAGAAAGTGATAATGAGGGAGGAGTCAATACCCCAATGATGGTGGTCTTCAGGATCAGTCCAGTCTTCATCTTGGTTGTTCTCCCCCCATCCTCACTCTCTGACCTCTGGTGGGGCTCAGCCCCGCTGTTCTTCATGACTAAATCATGGACTAAATAAGGAAGTGCAGTACTTCTTGTGTTGGGAAGATGGCGATGAGTGATAGAGGGGGTGGGGACCCTCGTCCTATAATCCCCTCATCACTGTCCCTCCTATAAAAGACAGTTCTGGTTGTTTCCTCACTCTCTGACTAAGGTCCATGAATAAAGAAATGACCTGGTAGGAGATCAGAGGAGCCATTTCCTAGTTCCCTTGAGGGTGGAATTGTAAGCTCCTCGGAGACCAAGCTGCCTGATGTGGGTGGAGTTCTGGTTTGGGGGAACCAATCAGCTCCTGTCTAGTAATCCTCTTTGTCTTTGTATTTTAGTCCATGGCCGGGAGATGAGGAAAACCTCCGAGGATTGTCTCACTTTGTCTCCAGACTGGAAAGTAGAAGATGAGGACATCACACAGTATAGTCCAGGAGAAAACCCGGCTCCCTCCAATGTCCATCCGGCACCACCCAGTGTAGATGGACCATCGGATTCCTCATATCCTGAGGAACCTCAGACTGTGCGGGACCGGGCCGGCCTTCCAACAGGGAAGAGCTTCTCCTGTACTGAGTGCGGGAAGGGTTTCCAATCTAAATCCAATTTTAATGTTCATAAAAGATCTCACACGGGACAGAAGCCATATTCCTGTTCTGAGTGCGGGAAATGTTTTTCACGAAAGTCCAATCTTCAGATACATCAGAGGCTCCACACAGGTGAGAAACCATATTCCTGTCCTGAGTGCGGGAAATGTTTTTCACAGAAGACCAATCTTTACACACATCAGAGATCTCACACAGGGGAAAAGCCATATTCCTGTCCTGAGTGTGGGAAATGTTTTTCAGACAAATCCAGTCTTTACGCACATCAGAGATCTCACACTGGGGAGAAGCCATATTCCTGTCCTGAGTGCGGGAAATGTTTCTCACTGAAGTCCAATCTTTATAGGCATCAGAGATCTCACATGGAGGAGAAGACATATTCCTGTCCTGAGTGTGGGAAATGTTTTTCAGAGATGTTCAGTCTTTACAAACATCAGGAGTCTCACATGGGGGAGAAAAAGTATTCCTGTCCTGAGTGTGGGAAATGTTTTTCCAAGACATCCAATCTTTACACACATCAGAGATCTCACACTGGGGAGAAGCCATTTTCATGTCCTGAGTGTGGGAAATGTTTTTCAAGGAAGTCTATTCTTTACATTCATCAGAGATCTCACACGGGGGAGAAGCCGTATTCCTGTTCTGAGTGCGGGAAATGTTTTTCACAGAAGTCCAATCTTTATGCACATCAGCGATTTCATACAGGTGAGAAGCCTTATTCTTGTCCTGAGTGCGGGAAATGTTTTTCAGACAAGTCCGGTCTTTACAAACATCAGAGATGCCACACAGCGAAGAAGCCGTATTCCTGTCCTATGTGTGGGAAATGTTTTTCACAGAAGTCTGATCTTTCCAGGCATCAGAGATTGCACACGGGGGAGAAGCCATATTCCTGTCCTGAGTGAGGGAAATGTTCCTCACTGAAGTCCTATCTTCCTGTACATCAGGGGTCCCACATAACCCTCAAGGTGTATCAGTGCCTTAAGTGCGGGAAATGTCCGTCTTTGAAAGTCCATCCAGGGAGGACAAGCTTGTCCTTGGAGCAGATGCTGGCTGCAATGTAAAGAAGACAAGCGGGGCAGGAAAAACCCCCCCTAAGTGTAGCCCCCCTAATACATTATTATTATTATATTATTATTATTATTATACAGTATTTATAAAGCGCCAATAGTTCACTCAGCACTGTACATTACAAAGGGGGACAGAACATGTGACAGAACAATAACAATACAATGCAAAACATGAGGGGATCGAGGGCCCTGCTCTTTCGAGCTTACAATCTAGAAGGGATGGGATAGTGGTACAGGAGGAGATAGCTGTGGGGGATGGAGTGGTAGGAAGAGTGGAGGAGGTCGCAAGTTAGCAGGGGGTGAGGTAGGCTTCCCTGAAGAGATGGGTTTTCAGGGTGCGCCTAAAGGAGAGGAGAGTAGGTGATAATCTGATGGATTGGGGCAGGGAGTTCCAGAGGATGGGTGACACCCCTGGAGAAGTCCTGGAGGCAGGCATGGGAGGAGGAGACCAGGGAACTTGAGAGAAGGAGGTCTTGTGAGGAGCGGAGTGTGCGTGCTGGGCGGTACTTGGATATTAGGTCGGTGATGTAGTTTCAGGGCAGTATGGTGGACGGCTTTGTACGTCAGTGTTAGGATTTTAAATTTGATCTGTTGCGCAATCGGAAGCCAGTGGAGGGATTGGCAGAGGGGGGGTGAATGGAGGCCAGGGAGGGATTGGAGAGGGGGGTGGCGGAAAGGTTGGAAAGGTGAATGAGTCTGGCAGCGTATTCAGGATGGACTGAAGCGGGGATAGCCAGCGGCGAGGCAGGCCAGTGAGGAGGGAGTTGCAGTAGTCGAGTCGTGATATCATGAGGGAGTGGATGAGCTGTTTAGTGGTTTCTGGGGTTAGGAACGTGCGGATTTTGGCGATGTTGCGGAGGTAGAGTCTGCATGTTGCGGAGGCGGAGTCTGCATGAGTTTGTTAAAGATTGGACTTGGGGCTGGAAGGATAGGTTGGAGTCCAGAATGACACCAAGTACTCTGGCCTGCAGAGCGGGTTTGATATTGGCGTTGTTGGATGTGATGGAGAAGTCAATGGGGGGTGGGGTTCGGGCTGGGGGGAAGACAAGAAACTCGGTTTTGGAGAGATTCAGTTTAAGGAAGTGGAGCGACATCCAATCTGATATGTCGCTCAGTAGGTGTGTGATTCGGGCTGAGACCGAGGGGGTGAGGTGGGGGCGGAGAGATAGATTTGTGTGTCGTCGGCATCGAGGTGGTAGTTGAAGCCGTGAGAGTGTATGAGTTGGCCAAGGGAGGAGGTGTAGATGGAGAAGAGAAGGGGCCCAAGGACAGAGCCTTGAGGAACCCCAAAAGAGAGGGGGTGTGAGGGGGAGGTGGTGGTAGCATTATAGGTAACGCTGAAAGAGCGTTGTGACAGGTAGGATGAGAGCCAGGAGAGAGCAGAATCTCTGAGGCCAAGGGAGTGTAGTATTTTGAGGAGGAGGGGGTGGTCAACTGTGTCGCAGGCCGCGAGAGGTCAAGGAGTAGGAGCACTGAATAGTGGCCATTAGCTTTGGCGGTTAGAAGGTCGTTGGAGAGTTTGAGTAAGGCGTTTCGGTGGAGTGTAGGGAAGTTTCGGTGGAGTGTAGGGGGCGGAAGCCAGACTGTAGGGGATCGAGGAGGTTGTTGTCATTGAGGTGAGAGCATAGGCGGGTGTAGACGAGACGCTCGAGGAGTTTTAGATGTAAGTGGGAGCAGGGAGATGGGTCTGAGGTTGTTCAGGTCATTGGGGTCCAGGGAGGGCTTTTTAAGTATGGGGGGTGATGTGTGCATGCTTCAGTGGGGAGGGGAAAGTGCCGGAGGAGAGGGAGAGAGATTAAAGATGTGGGTGAGGGAGCGTAGGATGGAGGGGTAAGGAGGTCGTAGGAATTGTGAGGGGATAGGGTCGAGGGGTCAGGTGGTGAGGCGGGCATCAGAGAGGATCTTGGAGACTTCCTCGATGGTGGTAAGGTCAAAGGTGTGGAGTGTTGGGGGAGCTTCAGTATGAGGAATGTAGGGGGGGGGGGAGTGGAGGTCAGAGCAGTGGTGGGGGCCGTGGGAGAGGGGTGATGAGGGGGTAGCTGAGTGAGGGGGAACGGGGTTGGAGGTAGTTTGAGCAGTGACGAAGTCCCTGCGAGTTATGTCGAGGGGGAGGGGGGATGAGGGGGGTAGCTGTGTGAGGGGGACGGGTTGAGAGGGCGTGTGAGTTGCGGCAATGTCCTTGCGAATTGTGTCAATCTTGTTTTTGAAGTGATTGGCAATCTCAAGGGCAGGTGAGTGAGGTGCTGGGTGGAGGTGGGGGTGGAGAGGGGTAGAGAGAGTTGAAGGTGGAGAAGAGGGGCGAGGATTGGAGGAGAGGGCCTTGATGAGGGTCAGGAAGTAGGCTTGTTTGGCTGCGTGGAGGGAGGAGGTGTAGGTGTGGAAGGCAGATTCAAGGGCTGCTGACAGCGCGTTGTTGTAGGCAGTCATAGCCAAGTCGGGGCAGGACAGGGGGAGGATGCGGTCCAGTGGAGTTGATCAGCTGCAGAGTGGAGGGGGGCAGGGTTAAGGTTGCGGAGGTTACGGCTGTAGTAGTGTGACATTTGGAGGGGTAGGCGTTGGAGGACGAGGAGATAGAGAAGGTGATCAGGTTGGTCAGTCAGAGAGGGAAGGGGGTGTTAGTGAGGTTGTGGGGAGCGCAGCGGTTTGGAGAAGACAAGATCAAGGATATTACCGTCGGAGTGGGTGGTGGATTGTATGCACTGTGCAAGTGCAAAGGAGGAGGTTAGGTGGAGGAGACGGGCTGTGTCTGGGTTGTCGAGGTTGACAGGGATGTTGAAATCCCCAAGAATGATGGTGGGTAGCTCAGAGGAGAGGAAGAAGGGTAGCCAGGAGGAGAAGTCATCCAGGAAGCGGGGTATGGATCCAGGAGGCCGGTATATCACAGCAATCTTCAGGGGGTTGGGGGAGAATAGTCGGACGCAGTGGGGCCTCGAAGGAGGAGAAGGATAGGGAGGGGGGGTTTGGGAGGACTCGGAAGGCGCTCTGCGGTGACAGGAGCAGACCAACCCCACCACCTTTACGACCGTTAGGTCTGGGTGAGTGGGTCCAGGTGAGACCTCCGTAGGAGAGTGCAGCAGGGAGGTAGAGTCAGTGGGCTGGATCCAGGTTTCCGTGATCACTAGGAGGTTGAGGGAGCGGAAACAAAGAGGTCGTGGATGGCGGTAAGCTTGTTGCACACCGATCGGGCGTTCAGGAGTGCACATGAAAACGGGGGGGGGGAGATTTTAGGGAGCAGGGGGACAGATACTAGTTTGCGGGGTAGGACATGGAGGGCGTTGAGGGTGTTGTGCGGGTGAGGGAGGTGGTGGAGGGCCAGGATTCGGGGAGATGTCTCCCGTGGCTAGGAGGAGGAGAAGAGTGAGAAAGGTGGCATGGGAGCGGGATGTGCAGGAGCGTGAGAAAACTCCTAGTGGAGGTGTTTCGGGTCAGTGGGAGAGAGGAGTAATAGGAGGAGGAGGTGGTGGGGTGCCATAGTGGGGCGAAGGAAGCAGTTGAGGACACAATATACAAATGTTTAGGAGGAGCAGAGGGATATAGTGAATGGATTTTGGGAATGGAGGAGAAGGGAAAATGAGAAGGAGTAAGAAGAGGCATTTTGGGGGGTGATGAGAGCAGTAGTAGGGAGATGATAGCAATGAGGGGGAGATGTGCAAGTTTTGGGGTGGAGCAGAGGGTAAAGAAATGAGATTTGGGAACAGAGGATAGTAGTATGAAGAGGAGGAGTGTATTATATAAAGGTACACAGAGTGGGACTCAGGCATGTAAGATATGTTTCCCAGGGTGTTTGCTTGCAGTCTGTCCAGCATGCAGTAGAGTTTCTTGCTGTTGTTGTGTGTCCTTTCTGCTGCTTAAAGTTCTCCTGCTTTAGTTCAACTGCTGTGTTTAACTGCTTCGCACTCTTTCGAAGCCGGCACTCCCGAAACAGAAGCATCAGAGACTGTGCCCCCCATCAGAGATCTCACCCCCATGAGCTGATCTAAATTTAATAGGGAGATATGCTCAATGAGCATTCAAACTCCACCCCAATTAAGAAGCTGATTATAATTGGCTCACATGAATAGTGGGTGGAAATATCTATTATAGGCGAACCAGCTACAGTTAGTAAACTGGTGCAACTGGAGGGTGAGGTAGTTGCTCAACATACACACAAATTGCTAAATACACCATTTGTTCTGAATATAACAGGATTGATGCGATTTTGAGTTAGGAGTGGAGGTAGTGGGAGGAAAATACAGCAGAGTTCGTGTGTATGAGTAAGTAGTGGGAGGTATGAGAGAAGCATTTTACCCAGGAGGCAGGAGTCAATGCCTTTGAGTTAGGAAAGGTAGGAGAGAATCAAGAAGTAAAACAGAGGAGTGCGTTTGAGTTAGGTGTGGGGATAACCATAGCCGTTATCATACCTAAACGGTTGGCTGGTATTATAAGCAATGCAAGCACACATTGCAATTGTGTCACATTTGTTTTTCCAGATGTTTCCTTTTTGTTCCCTTCATCCGTCGCTGCCTAAAAAGATTTTTAATCCACCCAAAAAAACCTACGCAAGCAAAGCTTATCTCACCCAATTTGACATCACTCAATGTGTCTATTGCTTTACTAAATGATCCCAAGTACCGTAAATCGGGCAATGTAGGATTAGAATAATTTTTTATTTTCCCTAAACACTCCTGTGCCATGTCAAGAGTTGACCTCTAACATTCAGCTTGTTAGAAGGTTATAAAACTTAAGAGGTAGTCACTCTTTTGACAGAACTGGTTAGACAAACTGGT